TGTCAATGTGCGTCTGTTTATCTATATTACAGTCAACTGTCCTGGAGACGCCGGCTACAAGTATGCCCCTTCCACCCTCTCTGCTACATGTCAGTGTACGTCTGTTTATCTATATTACAGTCAACTGTCCTGGAGACGCCGGCTACAAGTATGCCCCCTCCACCCTCTCTGCTACATGTCAATGTGTGTCTGTTCATCTATATTACAGTCAACTGTCCTGGAGACGCCGGTTACAAGTATATGCCTCCCGTGCTCCGCTACATGTCAATGTGCGTCTGTTTATCTATATTACAGTCAACTGTCCTGGAGACGCCGGCTACAAGTATGCCCCTTCCACCCTCTCTGCTACATGTCAATGTGTGTCTGTTTATCTATATTACAGTCAACTGTCTTGGATGCGCCGGCTACAAGTATATCCCTTCCACCCTCTCTGCTACATGTCAATGTGCGTCTGTTTATCTATATTACAGTCAACTGTCCTGGAGACGCCGGCTACAAGTATGCCCCTTCCACCCTCTCTGCTACATGTCAGTGTACGTCTGTTTATCTATATTACAGACAACTGTCCTGGAGACGCCGGCTACAAGTATGCCTCCTCCACCCTCTCTGCTACATGTCAATGTGTGTCTGTTCATCTATATTACAGTCAACTGTCCTGGAGACGCCGGTTACAAGTATATGCCTTCCGTGCTCCGCTACATGTCAATGTGCGTCTGTTTATCTATATTACAGTCAACTGTCCTGGAGACGCCGGCTACAAGTATATCCCCTCAATGCCTCTCTGCTACATGTCAATGTACGTCTGTTTATCTATATTACAGTCAACTGTCCTGGAGACGCCGGCTACAAGTATATCCCCTCAATGCCTCTCTGCTACATGTCAATGTGCGTCTGTTTATCTATATTACAGTCAACTGCCCTGGAGACGCCGGCTACAAGTTCATCCCCTCAATGCCCCTCTGCTACATGTCGATGTACGTCTGTGTATCTATATTACAGTCAACTGTCCTGGAGACGCCGGCTACAAGTTTATCCCCTCCACCTTCTCCGCTACATGTCAATGTACGTCTGTGTATCTATATTACAGTCAACTGTCCTGGAGACGCCGGCTACAAGTATATCCCCTCCACCCTCTCTGCTACATGTCAATGTACGTCTGTTTATCTATATTACAGTCAACTGCCCTGGAGACGCCGGCTACAAGTATATCCCCTCCACCCTCTCTGCTACATGTCAGTGTACGTCTGTTTATCTATATTACAGTGAACTGTCCTGGAGACGCCGGCTACAAGTTCATCCCCTCAATGCCCCTCTGCTACAAGTTGTCTACTCAGAAGCTGTCTTGGAGTGGCGCTAAAGCGAAATGTGAATCAGATGGCGGTCGTCTGTTTCAAGCTGACACGTCACACAAGATGGCGTGGACATATCACAACATCAAGGTCACAGGTGAGGCTGTCATTAAATTCTCTTTATAATGTAGACCGTGATTGTTCGTGTTGATGTCTGACTCTCTATTATGGATGTGTGTGAGTGAGTATGGTCTTAGGTATAAATAATATTCCAGCAATATCACGACAGCGGACACCAGAAAAATGGGCTTTACATATTGTACCTAAATGGAGATTCGAACCCAGGCCTTCGGCGTGACGAGCGAACACGATGAGTGAGTGAGTGAGTATGGTTTTACGCCGCTTTTAGCAATATTCCAGCAATATCACGGCGCGGGACACCAGAAATGGGCTCACACATAGTACCCATGTCGGGAATCGAACCCGGGTCTTCGGCGTGACGAGCGAACGCTTTAACCACTGGGCTACCCGACCGCCCCTCGAACACGATGATGAATGAAAGGTAAGGCTAAACTACGAGATGGGGTAGCATGGGGGGTCAACTATTGATTTGTGCGGAGGACACGGGCTTGATACCTTTGTGTCAGTCATCATAGATAACGCCATTTTACCGTGACACGTACACAACCGTGACGTTAGACATGCACCAATGGTTCTTGGATTTCTTAGCTACTTCTATGTTAATATAAAATTGATAAACTGGGTAAAAAAGATTGCAAGTGTCTAAAGGCAGCTTTTACAGAAGTCCAATAATTAACTGGAAACACTTCCGTCTGTAACTAAGGTAAATCCTATACTATCTTTGGAAATATTACCACACGTTAAAGTTTAAGGTAGGGGTATGTGTCATGTGAATATAGGTTATAGGAATATAACTCGTCTGGGGGCCAAAAGAAAGTATACCGGTGTTGTTGGGGTTTTTTTAAATTGAAGCTTGAAAGAACTGTTGTTACATTTGACTGAATATTTAACCATCACTCATTCCTGCAACAGTTTGTCAAAAGTAATCAGTGGTAAGCTAATTTTGTGAAATTGGTCCAATGTAGACATGGGTAAGAAATGAGTTTGCAACCACATGACCTCTACCATGTTTGAAATGTTTATTGATATATTGTATTATTCAATTTTATTGATTTTCAAAGATAAGATATCTAAGACACACATCAGCACTTGGGTATTATTATTTTTCAATTTTAAAAGTTTTAAATTAAATTATATTTTAAAACATAAAACATGTAGAACTATGATTTGAGTGCTGACTCAATAAGCCTACGCCCGAAAACCAAAAATCACAATTTACCATGCTATATAGAGAATACTACACTCATTCTCGTTAGATACCATTTTTACGAAACGAGTGGACTTTCTATGGTATCTGACCGAGCGAAATAAATAAACAAATTACCATACCACCCCTCACACCACCCACCCCTACCCACCAGTTGGAATTGTTAAGATCCCTTGAAGGCCTTCGACGTATCATATCTCTCTGCCACTACGCAGTGGTTCCTTACTCTTCGAAGTTGTTGAGGGATCCCAGAGTTTAGAGTGGTGTTGGTATCCTTTACTTTTTGCCTTAGTCTTCTCCATATCGGTTGAATATGTTTTTACATACCATGACGTGAGAGATTGTTGTTTCCATGGTTTCAGGCGGTGTGTGGCTGGGGGCGAGCGACACTGCCCAGGAGGGACAGTTCATGTGGACGGATGATACTGAGGTTGTAGACCCTATGTGGCGTGATGGCGAGCCGTCCAATACCTTGGGCATACAAGACTGCTTACTGATTGGCGATGACAGGCTGTGGGATGACGTCTGGTGCCAAGAAAGTCATTTCTTTTTGTGTGAACTCCAAACAACGTCATGCTTGTAGAGACTGTATGGACACCACAGAGTGAAACATCTTCTGTATTTCTAGCTATAAATGCTTTACGAATTCATTATTTGATAAAATAGTACTCCATCACTGAATCTTCTATTTGAGACAGGGCGGTCGGGTGGCCAAGTGGTTAAAAGCGTTCGCTCATCACGCTGAAGACCCGGGTTCGATTCCGACAAGGGTACAATGTATGAAGCCAATTTCTCGTGTCCCCCGCCGTGATATTGCTGGAATATTCTAAAAGCGGCATAAAACCATACTCACTCACTCTATTTGAGAATATGATTTTTATTTGTCCCAGGAAGCACGGACGGACAAGTCATCTAAACGTGTTCGTTAGCCGTGAATTGAGTAATGTCCCTTAAGAGTGCAGAATCATTTGATTCTGGGTTCGAATCCTAGCTTAACCCTGATTACAACTCCAGGTTAATCAGCATCATATCTCTGCTCGTGGATTACACCAACATGGTGAAGATCTACTTCAATCGGACTTTCGTGCATTTCTTAACACCCTGTGATATAAATGTTAAAGTGTCATTAAACCCAACTCACTCACTCATGACTGGTCCAGTGATGCGCGTGAAGAACATCACCTGTGTATGGATTCTAATGGACACGACAAACTGTGTTGAGTGTAAAGCGCATCACATATAGGGAGTCTGCTGGACACTGCAATAACATAAAGACAACAAAAAACATTCCATAATCATAAGAAATGTTGTCCATTGTGTACGTTTCCGACTACATTATAACCATGTGTTTGTGAATCAGTATCGAATAGTGATGATACCAGGTGTTTGCGAAAGGTGACCCACTGGTTGCACCCGTCACAAACACATGCAAAGGCAGGTCAACTGTTCATCTGAAAAAAACATGGTAACAATTGTCTACAAGTTAAAACAGGAAATTGCATCGGGCATCATTTTTTGTGACTGATCTGTCAAATATGGAAATGTCCTCAACATGTATATCATGGAACTCTTGAAACGTTTTGAAAACTTTACTGATGCCTTGAATGGTGTAACCCTGATCAAAGAACTTATGAGCAAGAGTCGTATGACCCTTTATGAGTGAGTGAGTATGGTTTTACGCCGCTTTTAGCAATATTCCAGCAATATTACGGCGGGGGACACCAGAAATGGGCTTCACACATTGTACCCATGTCGGGAATCGAACCCGGGTCTTCTGCGTGACGAGCGAACGCTTTAACCACTAAGCTACCCGACCGCCCCTGACCCTTTATGAGATCGTCGTTGATAGAGTACGCTCGATTGTACCTCAAAGGTTGTGAAATGTAGACACCAAAGTCGGAGCTGCTGAAATATTGCTCGACGTATGGGGAAAGTTGACTAACTACAACTTGAAGTCATCCTCTTGCCATACACATTCTTGTGGAGAGTTTCTCGTCACTCTGAATCTTTATGCATAGAGGCAGTTTCACTGATGTCTTTTATTTTCTGTTCTGGTGGTTAAATCAAAGGAAGGGAATTGGCTATTATTGAGTGATAATAGATCATCAATATTGAATGTACGTAAAGCGCATCACATACGTGTGTATGGATTCCTTTGGACATTTCCAATAGTACTGCGGGCATGTAAGTACAAATATAAACCGTCAAAGCCAGATAGTTCTCCTGTTTCATATCTCTCTATGGCATCGCTGTTGTCCATGTTTCAAATATAGGGGCACGGGAACCTTTATCTCGTCGATAGCCTATACAAGTTTCTTTGTTGTTCAATAAAGGTTACCAAGTATATCGTGCTCGTCTTCGATATGTCCGCTGGTTTGCTGTTAAAATAGGCTTGTTCCTTTACTGTTGTAACCAACGACTCTCAATATATTCTAATTCCAATATTCCACCTTCCTCACAATCCGAACGTTTGATAATGTCAAGAAGAGCCGAACAGATTGTTTGTGCAATATAGGTTTGTCAGTAAATTCAGTAAATTCAGTAAATCCAGTACATCCAGTAAATTCAGTACATCCAGTACATCCAGTATCTCCAGTAAATCCAGTATATTAGTGCATCCAGTAAATCCAGTAAATCCAGTAAATCCAGTAAATCCAGTATATTAGTACATCCAGTAAATCCAGTAAATCCAGTAAATCCAGTAAATCCAGTACATCCAGTAAATCCAGTAAATCCAGTACATCCAGTAAATCCAGTACATCCAGTAAATCCAGTACATTCAGTAAATCCAGCACATCCAGTAAATCCAGTAAATCCAGTACATCCAGTAAATCCAGTAAATCCAGTATATCCAGTAAATCCAGTACATCCAGTAAATCCAGTACATTCAGTAAATCCAGCACATCCAGTAAATCCAGTAAATCCAGTACATCAGGTACATCTAGTATCTCCAGTGTCTCCAGTACATCCAGTACATCCAGTACATCCAGTACATCAGGTACATCTAGTATCTCTAGTATCTCCAGTATCTCCAGTAAATCCAGCACATCCAGTAAATCCAGTAAATCCAGTACATCCAGTATCTCCAGTAAATCCAGTACATCCAGTACATCCAGTACATCCAATGTCTCCAGTTAATCCAGAACATCCAGTCCATCCAGTACATCCAGTATCTCCAGTAAATCCAGTAAATCCAGTACATTAAGTAAATCCATTATCTCAAGTAAATCAAGTAAATCCAGTACATCCGGTATCTCCAGTTAATCAAGTAAATCCATTAAATTCAGTGCAAATATAGGTGCACGGGAACCTTCATCTCGTCGATAGCCTATACCTATTTCAGTTTTGTTCAATAAAAGCCACCAAGTACATCCTGCTCGACTTCGATACATTAGCTGGTTTGCTGCTGAAATAGGTTTGTTCCTTTATTGTTGTAACCAAGGCCTATACTATAATTCCTCTATGTCATCTTCCTCATATGAGACCGAGCACTCAATAACGTCAAGAGGAGCCGAACAACTACATGTAGTTCTCACAACATAGGTTTGTCAGCACATCCAGGAAATTCAATGAACATTTTGTTTGTGTGGAAAACATGAGGCAAAATATTTCATCAAGTATTTTTTGGAACTATATATTTAAAAAAAAGACAATCAGCCTCCACGCCAACTCGCCACATAATAGCAAATGGTTGATCGCTGAGACATCAGTGTAAGTTCTTATCAGGAGTTTCAGCTTGCGATGCATGGAAAATGCTAAGGACTTTCTTAACCAGCCACACCAGCACGAGGAAACTAAGGAACAACAGAACACTCTCTATAGTCAGAACATAGTTGTACCATAGAGGGGTAGCCTATTGCATCAGATAGCCAATGATCTGAGGGTTGACCATTCCACCCAGGCCAACGGATACGAAGATGACAGACATAATTTTTCCTGACAGTTGAACAAAGTCCTTCTCTATCCACGTCAGCATGGCGGGGAAACTTATCGAGATTGAAAACCCGACAGCACAAGTAGTGATCCATATGCCAACATCAGAGAGAAACATTCCAGACAGGATCATCCCCACCTGCGCCACGATCGCCAAGATGAAGAAGAGGCCACATATCTTCATATGCGAGACGTAGCTGATGAAGAAGATGGCGGCAAGACGACCAAATGCATACGCAGCCCAGAACGTGGAGGTAATTCTTGCTCCCATGATCTTTGTCCACTTGAACTGTTTGACCACGTATGAGGCCAGGACACGGACGAGTCCTCAAAATCGTCCAAGAAGAAATAAAATATACCCAGAAGGCCAAGCGTGAGAACTAGTAACTTCCGGGATAACTTTTTCCCTTGTCTTTTACCATCCAATGCCTTAGTAACCTCCTCATGTCCCTCCTTTCTGGCAAAGAAGAAGACAACCAAGAAGGGAAGTGAGGATAGGATTGTCATTAACCCTGTCATCAGGAATGGCCATATGATGCTTGTTTCCAACGGCTCCTGTGGTGGTATGACCGATGCATTAAGAAGACCTGCTGGATCTGAGTTATTGGCAGCCAAAGACTCTGTTGAGTTTTGAACCCCGACAGCTAGGAGGGGTTCAAGGACAAAAGGGGAGACAATTCCCCCTAGTGACCAAAAGAAATGGAAGGCCTGCTCTCAACTCCCCACACTCTGAGAAGCTCCACGTTACTGCCTGCAAGACAACGTATTTGAAAAATTATTTCAATACCCCAGATCACTGGGGTAAGAAAAGAATTTGCTACCACATGATCCATACCAGATTTGAAATGTTGTGAAGTTTATACCGAAAAAGAAAATTGATTAATTTTAAAAGATAACGTGTCTGAGATACCCATCAGCAGTTGTGTATTATGCGAAATGTTTCTTTTATTAATTTTTTAAAGTTAAATATTTTAAAAATTAAACCATATAAAAGTACTCCATGAATGGTAAGCGCCAGTAAGTTCCTTTTTTTAACTTTCGATATTTTCAATTCAAAATCAAACATATGATGAAATTAAACGATGTATAGTTTCTATTGTTCCTCAGTTTAAGTTTTATCCCAAGCCTCTGGCTCGACACTGAGTACCTCTATGGTAAAGTAAATATACACTTTATTTTTTCACAGTACCACTATTGCTAATAAGAAAATGAAATTGGCAGGCGTATACATTTGAATTCGTCATAGTTAATTAATGCTCTCTTATTTTAATCTCTGTAAATCTTCAAAGAAATAAAATTGTTCGTGCTGAAAGACATTTTACGTTGTCAATTGACAACACAGTTTATGTTGAAAAATTATCCCTCACTTTTTTCAACATGTAGTTCTAATTAGTATATAATTTAAAAAATGGCCAGAAAATATATCACCATGTTTTACGTTCGGTCCGACACTAAGACATTAATGAATAAGAATAACATAATCCATCATTTACAGGATGTCGCACTTGAAGATACTGATTACAACTGGTCTTCAGAAACCCATGCTTGTCGCAAGAGGCGGCTAACGGGATCGGGAGGTCATAATCGCTGGCTTGGTTGATGCATGTCATGTCATCAAAATAAATACGGATGGTGCTTAACCTTTTCACGTGAATATATTGTCGTACTTGCTAGATAACGGCGTAAATGCCCACTCTTGTGCAATGCAAATTAGACAAACATCTGTCAGGAAATGCAATAGTCTATCGATCGGATTGGGAGGGAGATGCTTCAAAATATATATCTCCTTATGTGGCAATTAGCTATCAACTAGATGATTGTCTAACGCCTTTAACATATCAATAACGGACCCAATAAGAAGGATTCCGAAACATGATGGTGCAATATTTCTAGAAATTCTATGATTTCGACCCTTCTCAAATGGAACAAATATGCCTATATAGCCTATATGGTAGCCTAATTAATGTTCATATGAATCAGTTGAAAAACTGGTGTTTGAGATATATAAGCAGAAAATAATATATAACAATTTATGTTCATTCCATTTTACATGTCACCCTTTGATAAATATACGTGTATTGTTTTGTATCTACCCATATCATGATATGATACAAGAATAGGTCTTCAGCAACCCATGCTTGTCGTAAGAGGCGACTAACGGTATTGGGTGGGCGTGCTCGCTGACATGGACTCAAGCGCAACACACACACACACACACACACACACACACACACACACACACACACACACACACACACACACACACACACACACACACACACACAATATAGGCATCTCTTATCACTCACGAGTCTCTGTTGATGGATGGATATCCTCATTTATCTCTCAATATATTGTTGCGTGAGCATGAAGAGGGCAATATCATACTTTATAGGCTATGAATTCATTATAACATATAATGTATTTAATGTATAATTGTCCACAACCTCACTGGGTAGACACATACTCTCGGGACCCGTGAAGATCCGGGGTAGAATAGGTCTTTAGCAACCCATGCTTGTCGTAAAAGGCGACTATGCTTGTCATAAGAGGCGACTAACGGGATCGGGTGGTCAGGCTCCCTGACTTGGTTAATGCATGTCATCGGTACCAATTGCATGGATCGATGCTCATGATGTTAATCGCTGGATTGTCTGGTCCAGACTCTATTATTTACAGACCGCCGTCATATAGCTGGAATATTGCTGAGTGCGGCGTTAAACAACAAACAAACCATACTCTCGGATTGGGGTGGTCTGTTGTGTCTGACCCTTGCCGCTAGCACGGAGAATGATCTGAAGAGGTTTCTGTCAGGACATATAATCAGCAATCCCAACCACTCCATCTCCTGGCAACACACTAAATTCCTCTGTGCAAACATTCACAACTAGGGGAAGCGCAAGCTGCAAGAAACTACAAACATCAGACGAACCAACAATCGATCAATCGTGATCAAGGAGGTTTCCTTCCCAGTGCACGGGACATGTAATCTATTTATCAACTCATTTTATCCATTGTAAAAACACATTACTGTGTATCCACTCTCCTATAACAATTGACATGTCCATCAGAAACTGGTTTCTTGTGCATGTACATGTCCTGTTCACCGCCATTCACCCGATGATGAGGCAAGAAGAGCCCCTGTAACGTATATGTATCATAAAGAGGTTGTTATTCAAAACACTCCTTATCGTGTTTACATCCTTCTTCTAAATAACCGACAAAGTTCAGCTTTACAATACAGCAGATACAAATAGCTGTTTAATCTTCAGTATGATAACAGTGTTACATATAAAACAAGGAGTGACTCGCCTGGATCGATAGTCTTTGAATGATATAACTAATGGCATGTTAAATCAAAGTATTTGAATCTATCCTTCTGAACCTGATTCACCATGGGCACTGCTAGTAACACAGCGACAGCATATAAGACAGCTGACGGAACAAGTCCCTCCTCAGTGCCACGTAGATACAACGCGGACTGTGCCAGGCCTGTAGACGCTGGAGCTCACCTCGTTGATGCAAGCTCATTCACGCTACACTCACATAGCCACCGTTGATGTCGTGCGGGGATACATTACTACCAATATCCAGTTGTTTCCCGAACTGAATCGAAGTGGGTGAATGTTCTTTTACACGACCATCAGAGCTATTCCAGCTAGCCAGACAAACAACCTAGCGGTTAACAGCAGGGGTGATAGTTCCTGAACTTGTAGGTGTGATATCGCTCGGTGCTGAAGTGAGTGAATGGTATTTTACACGACCATCACAGCTATTCCAGCTAACCAGAGCTCGTCCAAACAACCCAGCATTAGCAGCAGGGGTGATAGTTCCTGAACTTGTAGGTGTGATATCGCTCGGTGCTGAAGTGAGTGAATGGTATTTTACACGACAATCACAGCTATTCCAGCTAACCAGAGCTCGTCCAAACAACCTAGCGTTAACAGCAGGGGTGATAGTTCCTGAACTTGTAGGTGTGATATCGCTCGGTGCTGAAGTGAGTGAATGTTATTTTACACGACCATCACAGCTATTCCAACTAACCAGAGCTCGTCCAAACAACCCAGCGTTAACAGCAGGGGTGACAATTCCAGAACTTGAAGGTGTGATATCGCGCGGTGCTGAAGTGAGTGAATGGTATTTTACACGACCAGCGCAGCTATTCCAGCTAACCAGAGCTCGTCCAAACAACCCAGGGTTAACAGCAGGGGTGACAATTCCAGAACTTGAAGGTGTGACGTCTCTCGGTGCTGAAGAGAGCGGAAACTGTCT